GAGAGGGCCCCTTGGCTCCTTCCCGTTTCGGGTGCAGGCAGTTCCCTTAACTGCAAGCCCCTGCCCAATGTGCTCTCCTATGCACCTGCACACTGACCATGTGCCTGCAAACCACCCTCCCTGCTGCCGGCTCCAGGACCCTACCAGCGTCCTCCGTGTCTTCGCCCAGCAGGTCTGGCTCTGGGGGTTGCCCTTGCCCAGCCACGCCAATGTCCTCGTCGTCCTCTTCCTCTCCCTCCTCCTCCTCATCATTGCTGGTGAAACTCAGCGTCCCGCTGAGCCGCGTGGAGAGGCCCTCGGTGTCATCCTCCAGCTCGGAGCTTTCTGGGAACTCTTCCGCTTCCGAGCTGCAGCCTGCCAGGCCGTCCCGCTCGCCCTCTCCGGTCAGTGCATGCCGCAGGCGGTGCAGGATGCGGGAGGCCATGGAGATGCCGTGGGGGGGGAAGCCCTGCAGGGAAGAAGAGGCAGTTGGGTCACTCTCAGCAGGCCTCCCCCCCCCCACGCCATGGGGCAGGGGTTTCCCCAGTGGAGCCCAGTTTCTCTGCTTCCCTCTTTAGCACTTCCTTATATATACTATTGGCTTCTCAACACACACAAAAAGTGAAAATGTAACAAAAAGAAAACAAAGATTTAAGCCCATAAAGCGTCACACCCCAAAAGGACAAAGTACAAAGACCCAGCACAGCTTCAAAGGGGGGTAGTAAAAGCATTGACTCGTACAAAGATTCCCTTCGCAAATAATAAAGATTCATAACAGTAAAAGTATTCTCTGCCTGTGAGTTCCATCATTATTGGGTATGAAGGTTCTACATAGTCCTAAATGAGCCAGACAGATGCATGTACTGATGGCACTGAGCTTCCACATGCTGCAATATCTCTGTAAGAAGTAAGACCATGCCATACATTTCACAAACGGTGATCCAATCTCTGCCTTTTAGATACTCAAGAAGGGCCGTTTGCCAAACTCTTGAATACCAGCAATCCAAACTATTAAGATTAAAGGTCTTCCCAGCCTGCTGTTAAGAGATGCGAAGTAAGTACTTTTCGACTCCCGTTCTGTTTCCACGTGCAGGCTCCAAAGCACCAGGTGGAAAGATGGGAGTAATAGTTTGTTTCGTTATCCAAGAGAACTTGGCAAACAGCTCTTTCCAAAATTCAGCCACGTTTGAGCAGCCCCACCACATGTGCTTCTAGGTACCAACTACACGGCTGCCCCTCCAACACAGTGAAGATGTACCTGGATGCACAAAGGAGAGAAATTGTGGAGTAAGGCACCAGCCGTGGACAAACTTCAGAGACAGCTCTCCAGGTTGGACTGACAAAGACCTGTATGAAGTCTTGGCCCACAGGCCATTCTGTGGCACTTCCTTTGTGACCCACCTCAGTCCTCTTGCTCTATGGGCCTGTGGTGGGGAGCTAAGGAAGGGACCCTAACAGATTCCTCAAGCTGCTCCCACAAAGCTTAAGAGACACCTCTTATGCAGAAAAAGACAGCGCAAAATCTCAAAATAAACATATTGAGTATAAACGCTTGCTAAGTGAAGACTGAAACTGCTTTGGTCTTGGGACAAAATTTAGTTCAATTGATTCAACAAAACTGATGAACTTGATCCAGGGAGATCAGCTTTTCAAAGTCTGAGAGAGATTAAGAGTCTTAGGTTCCACACGGAGTAACGACTGTTCAGTAAATTCTTAATGTGGTGGGTGGCCTCGATGACGGTATCGCAGGTTCCCAATGTCTGGTTTCAAGTCTCTTAGCAGGCAGGCATCTTAAATCGCCACCTCCGGTGCCGGCTCCCTCGCCTCTTGGCACCCCTAGGTAACCCCCCAGCCCCCCAGTGGGCAGTATTATCTACTTTGGGAGCCGGTGACCTATGGGAAATGGCTGAGTGAGTCATCTGGAGGTTTGCTGGGCTGCGGTGTCACCTGTCAGCAGGTGACAAGCAGCTCCACTTGTTTCTGCCGTTAAGCCAGGGAGGCGATAGAAGTTCAGAACAAGAAGTTTCTGGAGCTGTTTGGGGATGGATTTGGGTGGGGAAACCCACTGATGTGGGTGCACTGATCTGGATGGAGTTGTGCAACCTGTCTTGCATGGGAGTTGCATGGGGGGGTGTTACATGGTTTAGGGATGGTCCTGGATTTGGTACTCTCGGGGCAGGAATCAGTGGCCAGGGATGCTTCTGGAGAAAGCGGGGCTCTCTCTGATACCTGCTCTGTCTGTATCTGGGCTGGGTGACTCTAAGACAGGGCTAGACAGACTTCCAGCATGTGGGATCTGCTCTGTGGTTTTGCTGAAACTCCACAATCTACCAACCAGAGCCAGCTGCAAAAAGGTCTCTCGGGGAATGGATCCCGTTAGCTACTGTTCTCCATAAGCCATGCACTGGAATTGTCTGCACAGAGAATTGCCAATCTTGAACCTGCTCAGGGATTTGGAATGCAAAACTCTCAAGACAAGGCAGCTAATTGGCATCCATATTTTACGGGAAAGAAACATGGGGTGAAAAGTGAATAGCCCTCATATAGTTTTTACTTGCTATGCTTATACTATTAGAACTCAGTTAATCCCTCGGAGGGACGCGGGTGGCGCTGTGGGTAAAAGCCTCAGCGCCTAGGGCTTGCCGATCGAAAGGTTGGCGGTTCGAATCCCCGCGGCGGGGTGCGCTCCCGTTGCTCGGTCCCAGCGCCTGCCAACCTAGCAGTTCGAAAGCACTCCCGGGTGCAAGTAGATAGATAGGGACCGCTTACTAGCGGGAAGGTAAACGGCGTTCCGTGTGCGGCTCTGGCTTGCCAGATGCAGCTTGTCACGCTGGCCACGTGACCCGGAAGTGTCTCCGGACAGCGCTGGCCCCCGGCCTCTTGAGTGAGATGGGCGCACAACCCTAGAGTCTGTCAAGACTGGCCCGTACGGGCAGGGGTACCTTTACCTTTACCTTTAATCCCTCGGAGGTCCACCAGCAGATCCTGACTTACCTTGTGCCCACTCCGGACACTATGATGCCCACTCTGCCTTTGGAAACACCAACATCACAGATTCAACTGGAAGGGACCCCCAAGGATCATCTAGTCCACAGCAGGAATATGGCAGCGAGAGTGCTGGTTGGAGCCAAGCGCCCCACCAATTCTCTACAGTTACATGGGCTGCTTCCTTCATTTTGGAACCCAATTTAAAGCTCAAATTTTGGCTTCTAAAGCCCTGAACTCTTTTAGGGCGAGGCTCCTGTGGCCCTGCAGATGTTCTTTGGGCTCCCGCTCCCATCAAGCCCAGCCAACATCTGGAGGGCTGCAGCTTGCCCTGTCCCACCCTGTGCCCCCTACAAGCCTGCCTGGGCTTTTGCGTTCGGCCAAGGAGGTCCTGGGCTCCGGCCTGCCTGTAGGAGAAAGAAAGCTGCCAGATGTGAGGGTCAGGGTCTGGGGGTGTGTGTGGCAGCAGCTGCGCTGCACTTAATGGTGCTCTTGCGCAACCCTCCCCGCCGGCCTTGTTTTGGAAGTTTTTGACAAGAATATGCAAACCATTTTCATTTCAGTCTGCTCTGCATTAACTGCTGCTTTATTAATAATGGCTGTTGATTGCTGCTCCATTTTAAGGGGGTGTGACGTGGTCTTAACTGGACAATTGCTTAATTTTTAATATTTTGTGACCATTGTGTTTCTCATGGTGCCTTGTGCACCATTTTGGAGGGGCAACTGTGCCCTAAAAAGTGGTTTTGAAAGCCCATAATAATTAGAGCCAGTGCAGCGTGCCGGTTAGAGTGTTGGACTAGGACTTGGGAGAGCCCAGGGCTCAAAGCCCAATACAGCCATGAAGCTCGCCTTGGGGGCCAGTCGCTGCCTCCTAGCCTGACCCGCCTCACTGGGTTGTTGCAGGGATTAAACAGGGAAGGGGGGGGGACCACGCACACCCCCTTGAGCTCCTTGGAGATATAAATGCAATGCAAGAAAATGAAACAAGATGAGGAATCTTTAGTATGTGGGGCTTTTCTCTCTCTCATCATAGTTTCTATTTGACAATTTAAAATACTAATTTTTACATTTTTTAGGATATCAATAACTTCTCTTTCCATGTACAGGTAGGTCTGCCGTGTTGGTCTGCCGTAGTCGAAACAAAATAAAAGGAAATCCTTCTAGTAGCACCTTAGAGACCAACTCAGTTTGTTATTGGTATGAGCTTTCGTGTGCATGCAAAGTGTATCTGAAGAAGCGTGCATGCACACGAAAGCTCATACCAATAACAAACTTAGTTGGTCTCTAAGGAGCTACTGGAAGGAATTTTTAAATTTTGTTTCTCTTTCCATGGTTTATTTTACATATCATAAATCCCTGCGTTTTTCCAAAAACTAAAGCATTCAGTATTACTGCATCCATCACAACTTATTTACACTGCTTAATTTCTCTTCATGCTGCCAACGCAGTTGTGGGGCTTTTCTGCCCTTTGTTTTGAAAGCCAGAGAGAGAGCCTCTCTGCAGAGGGTACTGGATATAGAAGGAAGGGAGAGAAGAGGCAGCAGCTGCATGCCAGAGGTAGCCTGGGGCGTCCTCCTTGGCATGGGAGAATGCCCGTCCCATGCACACCCAGTGAGGAAGAGCAAAACAAGGCTGGCACTCAGCGCCCTCCCGTCCCCAGAGGTTTCGCGGTTCTTGTCCCAAGGGAGCAGCTGGGCACTGAGCACCCACAGGGGCAACCTGGGGCCTCGACGTGATGCCAAGGTGCCTCAGCCGCAGGGCACCCGCAGGTGAGGCAGGGCACACCCGGCTCTTCCAGCCCATCATCATCATTTTACTTGCATGCCGCCTTTCCATGGTTAAAACAACTCTCAAGGCGGCTGACAACATGACAAGTTTTACATAATTGCCAACGTATCAAAAGTCATAAACAGTAAATAAAACACATGAAAGCCCAGCCCATCTTGCTCTGGGGCGGCAGGTGCCAAGGCGGGCCTTGCCCTCTCTCCCCCACCAGGTACAAGAGAGCGGGGGGGGGCGCAAGCCTCCCCCCCCCGCCCCACTTTCTTTGGCAGGTATTGCCAAAGGCGCAGGGGCGCAGCCCTGCCCTGGAAACCCTCCGCCCGGGAAAGCGCGTAGGGTCAGTCGGCAGGGGGCACTCTGCACATGCCCCGGGGCCCCTTTCTCGCAGCCCCACCCATCGCAGGCCCGAAGCCGCGGCCCCGTCCGGGAAAAAGGTCCGGGGGCTCGGCGGGCGAGGACTCCCCAGCGGCGAGGAAGATTGCGCGCAAAGGGATGCGCGCTCTGCACATGCCCGGAGGAAGCGCGCTTGCAGCTCGCCCCGCCGAGGATGAAGCCCAGCTGGGGGGGCCGGGCTGCGGGACCCCCGCCCGGTCCCCCCCAGGCTCTTGGCGAGCAGGGAGTGGCCGCTCACCTGGAGGCAAAGGCGGCTGGGGGCGCCGGCGTCTCCGTCCTCCTCCTCCTGCGATGGCCGCTCGGGCTGCGGCGGCTCCTCCTCCTCCTCCTCCTCCAGCCGCCGCCTCCCGGCTCTCCGTGGCCGGCCTCTCCCTCGGCTCCCCCCGCGCGCCGGGAAGGAAGCGCCGCCCCCGCCGCCCGCGCCCGGGAGCCGGAGAGGCGTGCGCCCCGGCGGGCTCCCTTTCCCGAGGCGCCCCTTGGAGACGGCGCGGAGAAATCACAGACGCGCCCTGAGATTTGGGGAGGGCGCAGCGCAACGGCAACAAAGGAATTCCGCGGCACGGAGCCGCAGGGCTGGAAGCGCGGGCGGCGATTCCCCGGGTGCCCCCAGCACCCACCAAATTCCCCACCAAGGGGCCGGGCACCCACAAGAATTCAGTGCCTGGGCCGTGCGCTCCGCCTGGCACCCACGGGCCCGGGGCCAAGCGGGCGCTCCTGATGGGAAGGAGGGACCCCGGGGCTCCAGATGCGTTTGCTCACCTTCCGTGACTTACCTGCCTTTTCTCCCCAAGATCAGTCACTCTCTGGTGACGCCTGGAAAATAGAAGCAGAAGCTTCCTTATGGCAGGAGGGCAGGAAGCTGGGGAGCCGGACCGCCGGCCACAAAAACCTACGCAGCAATAAATGGGTCATTCGAAGTGCCCTAAACCTTGGATTGTTTTTCTCTAAATTTATTTATCTTATTGCATTTGTATGTCATCTCCAGGGCAGGAGTCTCCCCCTCCTCGATGAATCCTCACAATAACCCTGTGAAGGAGAAAAAAAATTCCTTCCAGTAGCACCTTAAAGACCAACTAAGTTAGTTCTTGGTATGAGCTTTCGTGTGCATGCACACTTCTTCAGATACACTTCTTCAGAAGTGTGCATGCACACGAAAGCTCATACCAAGAACTAACTTACTGTAGTTGGTCTTTAAGGTGCTACTGGAAGGAATTTTTTTTGTTTTGACTATGGCAGACCAACACGGCTACCTATCTGTACCTGTGAAGGAGGTTAGGCTGAAAGGGAGGGACTGGCCCAAGGTCACCCCCGATGAGCTATTATTATTATTATTATTATTATTATTATTATTATTTAGTATTTATACCCGGTCCATCTGGCTGGGTTTCCCCAGCCACTCTGGGCAGCTTCCAGCAAAATAATTAAATACAATGATTCATCAAATATTAAAAGCTTCATGGCCAGGTGGAGGCTCAAACCCTGGTTTCCCAGGTCTTAGTCTGACGCTCTAACCACTACACCGCGCTGCCTCACCCCACTTCAACAGGGTACACCAGTGAGCCTCTATAAATAATATTGTGCTTGGAGAATAGTTTTTCTCCTCCCAGCACTTGAACTCGTGGCTGTAATAGGAATTTTATGGTCTTAGATATATGGTAAGGGAAAAGGGCAATTTTTGTTTACAACATGGCCAACCAGTGAAGCTGACCATAGGAAGATTCGGGACAGAGAAAAGAAAGTGATTGTTCACACAGCTCCTAGTTAATCCATGGGACTCCCTCTCACAGGAGGCGTTGATGGCCAACTTGATGGCTTAAAAGAGAATTGGACAAATTCACAGAAGAGGATAAGGGTCCCTAGTGGCTTCTAGATAGGGGAGCTCTCTTCTCTTCTCCCTTCCCTTTCAGTTGTCATGTGCATTGAAATTAAAAAAAAATAAGGTCTTATATATATAATAAGTGTTTATAAATGTACCAAGCAAATGTCTTTGTATGAATAGGGTGAGCTTGTGACCTGGCTCAGGAACTAAGTATTTGTCATTACAAAAGACTGGCCAGGCTCCCCAGGGTATCCAATCAAGTGAGCATTAACAGGTAACCTACCAGACAGGAGATAAACAAGGCACTCAGATTTCTGTTGTAGACCGCCCTTTCTGTGATGTAGGTATGATGTATCTAGTGGTGGTCTTGGACTCCAGGGCGGGCAATTTAAAATGTCTATATAAGGGCGGACACACCTTAGTTCTGGGTCCTCCTCCTTCTCCTGCATGTGAGGGGAGCACCCTGTTGCAACGGATCAATAAAGGTCAAGCTTACGAGCGGAGGAGGAGAGGGCTCTTGAGGGCTCCTGGCCAGGGTGGCTCTGCTGTGCCTCCGCAGTTGGTGAGCTGGAAACTGGAGGAAGGGAGAGGGATCTTGTGCTCAATTCCTGTTTGCAGGTTTCCCAGAACTGGCATCCAGTTGGCCCCCGTGAGAAGAGGATGCAGCCAGGAGCTTCTAACATTTTTACATAAATCTGTAAAACTCCTCATATTGGAGAGACATCATAGAATCATAGAGTTGGAAGGGACCTCCAAAGGTCATCTAGGCCAACCCCCTGCAATGCAGGAATCTCAGCTGAAGCATCCATCTGCAGGAGAGGGGCTGTGAGGAACAGCATGGCAGGGGCTGTCTCCAGACCAAGGGGAAACTGTCAAGCTCCCTTGCTATTTTTGTTACCGGATGCTGAAAGTGGTTTATGCAATCTTGTTACATTTATAGTTCTGTAGTATTGTTTCCCACCATGTTATTATATTTGCTATTGAGTTGTTTTGATATGTCATTAGGAAATTCCTTTTGCACTCTTTGGTGTTGAAATGCATTTTGGTTTTCTCTGCTGCCTGTCTCTCTGAGCATTATTTTTTCGCGAGTGGAAAAGTAGCAAAGAAATGAAATAAGTATTACCGCATTTTTCCATGTATAAGACGCCCCCTATTTTGGGGACTCAAACTTAAGAAAATGCACTGCACTCTCCATGTATAAGACGACCCCTTATTTTAAACTTCCAAAGTTTAGGCAAAAATATAGTCTTATACACGGAAAAATACAGTATATGCACTTTGACAAGAGCATTTCGCCTGCGTTTGGGAAGAACTCTGAGCTGTGTGCAAGTTCCGGTTATGGAAACATAATGTTCCCTGCACATTCTGACCTGATTTCCCCGGTGCACAAGACAAGAGCCCTTCTGTGAGGCCAAGGACCCACCTTCTTCATCAAACTCGCTTGACTGCCTGATTTCCTTTGGCGTTTGTGGCTGGGCCAGCCTGGCTTGTTCAAAACACACCTGCAGCCAAGGAGGTCAGGGGGTGTGGCCCAAATTCCAGGCAAGAGGAAGATTCCTTCCTTCCTGTGGAAAAGAAGCGGTGGGGAGAGGATTGGGGCGTGAGCAATGCACAGCAAGAGAGCCGTGGGTTAACTCCCCGTGGAAGATTCCTTTCCTCCTGTGGAGAATTCCTTTAAAACAAGAAGAACTGCACCACCTCACAGGTCATTTACGATACGATACGCTAATATTTATTGTCATTTGTCCCATACAGAACAACGAAATTGAAAAATCTACACAAGACATTCAAAACCCAACCAGCCTGCTATCCCAGCTATCCCAACCTGGTTAGCCCCCTAAAAACTCTGATAAGGTAAAGGTAAAGGGACCCCTGAGAATTAGGTCCAGTCGTGACTGACTCTGGGTTGCGGCGCTCATCTCGCTTTATCGGCCGAGGGAGCCGGCGTACAGCTGGTCATGTGGCCAGCAGGACTAAGCCGCTTCTGGCGAACCAGAGCAGCGCACAGAAACGCCGTTTACCTTCCCGCCGGTGTGGTACCTATTTATCTACTTGCACTTTGAGGTGCTTTTGAACTGCCAGGTTGGCAGGAGCAGGGACCGAGCAACGGGAGCTCACCCCATCGCGGGGATTCAAACCGCTGACCTTCTGATCGGCAAGTCCTAGGCTCTGTGGTTTAACCCTCAGCGCTACCCACGTCCCTTAAAAAACAAGCAAACAAAAAACAACTCTGATACCCCATTTTTAAATACAATATACTCCCATAGAGACTCCTTACACTGCGTATTTCTTTTCCAGGAGGAGGAGGAGCCGTTGGAGAGCACTCTTTGGGTTACTGTTATTGGTTATTATTTATTAGTCCTCTTACTTCTGCGAATTTCTGCAGGAAATTGCTCTATGCACTACAGGACGCTGGAAAATGAAATAGTGAATTGGTTCTGGGAACCTAATAGGAAGAAGACGAGGTTTTAGACTGGATAGCAAGTGTGACGCCTGTTCTGCCTGTGACTTTGGGCCTTTTGGGCCAGAAGTGGTTCTGCGCCTGCTTTTGTCTCTGATGCAGCTTTGCTGAGGTGTCACTGTTTGGATCCTGTTTCACTGTGGACACAAACCTCTTTGCACGGGTTTGCAGGATGAGGCCTGGGTTAGCCCTGACATGGATGCCCCCAAGCTTTCATGTTTAGCCAGCTTCCACTGGTGTTCTTTTATATCTGGCCTCTGTTTCTTCTGTTTGCATGGGTGTGTTTTTAAGCATTTTATTTCCTGTTCGTGGCGACTGGTTTTAGTGCTGAGCCTGTGTTGTAAGTCACTTTGAGACATGCAAACTGAGTGAGAGAGAGTATCCTTGGAATGCAGTTACAACCCCCAGAAGAGCCCTGCAGGGCCCAGCACAGCCTCCTCTTTTTTTATATATAAAAAAAACTAATTATTCAACAAAAGGTTTCCACTCCTCCTGCAAGCCTACCTCTTCTCTAATTTTCAGAGTTAAGTTTGCCAATTCCAGCCTCTTCTTTCAAATGGTGACCAACCAGATGCCTCCAGGAAGCCCGCAAAGGAGGCCTTTCTCCTGTTTCTCTACAGCAACTGGCATGCAGAGATAGACTGCTGCTGTACCTGGAGGTTCCATCAGCCCCCATTCCTTGGGGACTCCAATGCTGGGGATTTGCAAGCGTGGCACCTGCTTCTGGGAGCGCCTTCACCTTCATAAGCAGATGTTGCAGAGACACCTGGAATCCACAGAAAACTCATCCCTGTGGCCACCATGCTACTTCGAACCCACCCATAGCTGTCAACTTACAGATTTGAAAATACGGGACCAGCAGCCTCGAAAATAAGGGATCAGCAGCCAAAATAAGGGATTTTCCGGGCACAGGTATGTTCAACTTCTGAGCCCCTCTGAGCCAAAGGCAGAAAGCCCAGCCAGCAGCCAAACGAAGCCTCATCAATAAGGGACAGCAGCGGGACATGGCGCTGGGATAAGGGACTGTGCCGCAAAAAAAGGGGCGCTTGACAGCTATGAACCCACCAGCTGCCAAGTAGTGACAGCTGCAGGCTCAGTTCCTTGGGTGCAAAAGGGAGACCATTGCCAGCCTCTACAGGGCGGACATCTCTTTTTAAAAAAAATATTTTTATTAAACAATTTCAACATAACAAATTATCAAACCATATTATCACATACGTTATTCTCCCCCTTTCCCCCCTTCAATCCCTCCCTCCTCTCCCCCACCTCAGCTCCTCTCTCTGATTTCTCTGCACACATTATTCTCTGCATGTTATAAAGTTATACATATCCTTACCTTCCAGTAGCACCTTAAAGACCAACTAAGTTAGTTCTTGGTATGAGCTTTCGTGTGCATGCACACTTCTTCAGATACTGCATGCACACGAAAGCTCATACCAAGAACTAACTTAGTTGGTCTTTAAGGTGCTACTGGAAGGAATTTTTTTGTTTTGACTATGGCAGACCAACACGGCTACCTATCTATATCCTTACCTTATCTATCATGTAATCAACCAATAAATTTGTGAATGTTTATTCAAAACCTGCCAAGGACTCCAGTTCGTTTTGTGTGGGGTTTTTTAGATAATTTGTAAAAAGTTCCCATTCTTCCT